ACCCCCCCCCCCCCCCCCCACACACACAAATTGCACTCTTCCCACCTTTTACTCTTAACACGGCGGCTTGCTTTTAAGTGGGGTCGGCCATATTTAGTCTGCCGATCAGTTAGTCCGCGGATCATCAGTTTTGAATGCCACTTAAGACTCAACGTGTTACATATGGTGACAATTCACTGCACCTAGGGAAGAAATTTACTGCCCCTTTAACTACGTCAAATGAATTCTCCGGCTATTTTTAAAAGGGAACTCAAGGCTTATCTTTTAAAGATATGAATAGAATTTTTATGGACGACTTTTTCAAAGAGGGTGATGAAGAAACAATGTTAATTTCTACATTATATGTTTCATTCAATTTTCCAGTCTTAATTATCTTTTTATTTTCTTTTACTTTATCATTTATTCACGTTGCACTTTAAAGATTACTGAACAAATTTGGATTTTAGACTCAAAATAAATATTATCATTATTACGAAAATAAGCGTGATGACCTTAAGCTAAGCAACGTTTTTTCCCCCGAAATTTCTCTACTAAAATGTGTACAGTTACTCTTATGTCCCTTCTTGATATATTGAGGCACTGGCTCATGATCACACATCACTTTATAACAGAGCAACATGCGTACCTGAGGATACAAATAGTGGGTGTGGCATCTGAAGCACCATTAATGGATATTATATAGCCACTTTCGATGTACGTTGTTGCATGAAATAGGAAGAAGAGGGATAAATACACATGCTCTTTTTGAAATTTACAAACGACTATCATGAACCTGAATGAGATCAATTCCAGGGGGTTCTTAACTTTTGGCCGTCAGCGTAGATATAAATGTCACTTATGGCTATATTCTATTTTGTTTTTCTTTTCAGTCTTTCGCCTCCACGTATGATTCGCTACTCACTGCAGTATGCCATCTGCGTTGCAGGTATTCTTGTTGCAGCCTTCAGCCTCGGAGAAGCGGGTAGGTTGGACAGTTTGAGACAACAAGCTCAGACTTAACCATCCCGAATACTTTATTTCACTAGTATTTTTTAACTTAGCGGTCTGTGTAAAATGATGTTTACAAGTCCCTGATATACTCACTGAAAAACGTTCATGTTCATGAATACTATAATTTTTGTCAAACCTCTTTAAAATTAAAAAAAAAGAAAATATCCAGGTGATATTTCTGCATTAGAATCTCGTGCCCAGGCAATTCATACACATTTATTTCATTAAATCCTCCAAGGAGGGTATATTTTGTCTTTGTTGAGCTGTTTTAACTCGAAATACAAATGGATTTTATATAAAATTTACAGGACAGATAAGAAAAATGTCAACAAATAATCAGTTAGGTTTTTTGGATGAATTGATAAAGCACATAAGAATATGGCTTGCTTGTTGGCGGTCTTTGATTTGAAATGCTTTTTCTAGTTTGATATATTCTGATCTTTTAATGTTGAAATATTGTTTCTTAGATCGAACAACTCAACGTAGTTCCTTGTCGTATACATGCACCAAGGCAAATAAACATTTATAGTTTGATGTCTTTAAAGGATAAATGACTTTATTGTAAATATGTAGGCATACCGAACCCGCTGTTCTTTCCTAGAGTAGCACCCATTACGTAAATTATCAATACGCCAGACTAGGTTATTGGGACTGGTTACAAATGACGGGTTTCCTACGATGACGCAATAACAAGATAATAAACCAACGCCGAATTGATATTTTTTGTTAGTGGCTACGGGCAGTGAGTACGTTTACATTATATGCGCGCGCCTTGCCATTTCCCCGACATGAAACGCGAGATCAGGTGGTTGAAAAATCGTTTTTTCGGTTGTAAATTGGTCGTACAGAGCCCTTCCGTGCGGCTTCCTTGGCGACCAATACGTTGACGGTGCGGCCCCTACGAGATCCTTAGCCCATGTAGTCAGAAAAAGTACAAGCTTTATGCAAGGACACCTTACAGACTAGAATGCCTGTGCGGGAACTGCGCAATGCCATCTTCTATTTCAAAATTTTGTCAAAAGTTTTAGCTAAACAAAATCGTAGAGGCTATGGAGGTCGTGAATCCATATGATTCCGTACGATAATGTACGGCCACCGTCTGTCTCCGCACAGAGGCTGCACAAAATATGACTCAAGGGCAGTATACGAGCAACGCACGGACATCGCATGGCAAATGTAATTTAGGCTTCACTAAGACTGGGTTCCCATGCTAGATCGATCCATCTGGATCGATCTTACTCCCTGGGTAGTCTCACTAAATTGCTGTCAACTAACCAGTTTAAATGTCTGTAACGCCTACTGAATCAGCTATTACCCCCTGACAGCGATACTAGGCGTGACAGGCATTTAAGCCGGTTAGGCCACACTTTTTAATTTTTATGGATGACATCCTCTGGGGACCCCAAAATCGGTGCGAGCGGGCGAAA